CCCTCTCCCGGACCGCGCGCTGTAACGCCCACACCAATGTAGTGAGGCCAGCCTCTAAGCCTCTCGGCCAAGGTGTCCCCATGCTCCCTTGGCGCCAATAGCCACACGCTTCTCCACTCTTGCGCTCCTTTCTCTCCGCCTCTCTCTCTCTCTCTCTCGCGCGCGCGCAAACCCCGCCCGCGGCCACGTTGCATCCAACTCACCAACGCATCGCCGCTCTTCCAGCCCAGCTCCTTGCGCAGAAAGACGACGACGGCATGGAAGCGATTGAAGGCCGTGATGCGAAAGTAGTTGTTCTGTGCGGCCCAGTCAGGAGGGGGAGGAGGAGGGGATCGATGCGAGGGAGCGAGGCAGGAACGCACCTTCATGATGGGCGCATTGCCAATCGCCTTGAAGCGCACCACCACTGCTCATCCGTCCAAGGATCAGCTACCCTTGAAGCCTGGAATCTTATTCTGCATGAAAAGGCAAGCGGGGCGCCTCACCCTTGCTAGTGTCCTTGCGGCGATACGTGTCGAGGGCGTGTGCGACTTGCGCCGCAGCCGCAGCCGCAGCGGCAGAGGCAGTGGCCAGAGGCAAGGCCGGACTGCCGGCGCTGCCGCTGCCGCTGCCGCTGCCGGAGGCGGGGGCTGCTGCTGCTGCTGCTGCTGCTGCTGGTGCTGCTGCTGCGCTGCTGCTGCCCGATGCCGAGGGTGTGGTGGGTGAGGCGGCGGCCATGGCTGAGCGCGGCCGAGGGATGGGAGAGACTGAGAGAGAGAGAGGCGAGGCGAGGCGAGGCGAGGCTGGCCGGTGCGCAGCCAGCTCCACCCACGCGGGGGCGCGCTTGAGCTTAGTCAGCACCGCCGCGCCGCGCCCATGAATTCGCGCCTTCGAAAGTCGGCCTTGAAGCTCGAGTTGCCTCGCCGCGTTCCTTCTTGCTCCTCACCTCCACCCTTCTCGCCCTCACGCCGGGCGCAGCCATGCCGAAAGTGACCAAGAAGCAGCAGAATGCCTCGCTCGACTTTTCAAAGGCAAAGACGAAGCTCGGGCGCAAGGCGGCGCCCAGCAACGCCACGTCGACGGCCTTCAAGGCACGCAGCGTCGCGCTGCCAATGCAGGGCGTCAGCCGCGACCGCGAGCACGACGAGGGCAAGTGGAAGGGCAAGAGCATCGCCGATCTCGTCGCAGGCACTAGACACTACGCCGCCGGCGTGCGCAAGGGTGAGTGGGCGCAGGAGAGAGCAAGGCGCCAGGGTGAGGGGGCAGCGAGGAGGGGCAAGGTGCGGGACACAGCGAGGAGGGGCAAGGTGCGGGGCAGCGAGGAGGGGCAAGGTGCGGGGCAG